ACATATATATATACGATATGTTAGATACGACATGTACGACATATCGTTTACCAACCCAGAGAGAGAGTATGTAAATATAATGTGATTGTTTTCGTGATTAGTACTCTAGAGTAGATAGAGTATCTATTTTACGTACTGAACTCTTTTTTAAATACGGTTCACTATTCAATATTCACTGTTCACTTTGTTTTATATAACTAATTATAATATGCAATTTTTTCTTGTATTCTTGTTCAGTGTTTTTAAAGTTTATTGTATTTAAAATACTGTACTCTGTGAGCTTGTTGGCTGCAGTTGTGCATTAAAAATACAATAAATATATTTTGTTTGTAGTGTTGCTTACTCTCTCAACACTCAAGTACAATTAGAAAAAATACTATGTAATCCTCAGCTAATTCTCAGACCCATTTTTTATAAAAAGTAGTCATTTTATATCTGATTTCTCATTGGATACCGTTGGTGCCATATTCACAGATTGTTACCCCCAGAGAGAGCATAGGAGCAAGAGAAACCTATTTCTAAAGAATATTTTTCTCGTGTTCTGGCATTGTTTTATTAACATTGTTGCTGTTTTTGCTTTTACAAAACACAAAAGTACATCTTGTCACAACAGTTTATATGTAAATACTAAATACATGCCACAATATTTCATTTTTGCCACGAAACCTGACTCGACAACTGCCTATTTCAATGTTTACACAAGAGATGAGAAAATAGGTACCTATGTAAATACTTAGAGCAATTTCGTAAAGTCACAACATCCGCGCAATGTACTGTACGTCCAACGTCCAACGGCCAAAGTAAATAGTCGACTTATACGTTGTGCATATAGGGAATCCGTGACTCGGGAGTTAATTTCGGTACCAGAAAGGATATAGTGATACCACAAAAGCGCCTCTTTTTTAATCGGGTATCTTTTTCTGGGTATATTATCTGGCGACTAAAACCGCGCTTGTCGACAAAAGATACTTACAGTGAAGGCGAGATACTACGAAGGGACCTCTCTGCGACACATATTGAGGTCAATCTCCCATATTTTCCTAGTAGAGGAGTTACTCGCACTGGATGTGAAGTTAACTGTACTCAGCCGAATCTTGGACCATCTTGTTCGCCTTCGGAATACCAGAAGAGAAGGTTATGGTTTGTCTTCAGGAACTGTATGTTTCACGAATACGCAGAATCTACGCATGCTTGGCTTTTATCTGTATTGCTAGGCGTCAATAGTTCTAGTTCTATTGCAAGTCTCTAGTATCGTTCTGTATCGATCACTCGACGGAAATATGCACAAATAGTTCCGGTATGTTACGGAATGACGTGAATATTTGTGTGCTATGATTACCTGCACCATCCAATTTATGACGCGAGAAGCTCCCTCTTCGACGTCTGAGTGTCGAGACCCGACACGGGTCAAATATGTGACAATCCTAAACATGTACGAACCAGCATCACAAAGCTTGTTTAATTTAAACTGGTCATCTATTGTATGTTTTTATACACACTAGACAACAATCACTCGACGAGGCAGATACATTCCATATTTGCAAAGCAGCGGATTGTCGATACGAATATACACGGTGATGAGATATATTTGGCAGCATACATACAGTATGTATTGATTTCACATCATATACTTGCAAAGCAGCGGATCGTCGATACGAATATGTATGGTGATTAGATATATTTGGCAGGACACATACAGCATGCAAATGAATACGACTGGTCAGTTCTTCCACCTCGAGTAGCAGATTGAGGTTTTAATTCGAAGGACCGCTATAGATAATGTTATAGAAATTTTCATTAAAGAATTGGCGTTCTTCACGACACCAATAAGCATCCATGCCGGGTTTCATCGTTGCCGTTTGCTCGACGTTCCGCTATGGACTCGTACTGTTAAGCGCTTCCTGAACCTTTGAGTATAGTATATCAGGCGATATCTGCGGGCTACCCATTCGCTTCCTCTCAGCCTCATTTATTAATCCACAGAGGGTGTCATTGACAGGCGTCTGCACACCATGCTGGCGACCAAGCTTTGCTATATATCCATTGAGCTCCTGCGTGTTGGTGTGAGATTACGTATCCATGGGAATCGAGAGCGTGGTGACTTGCGTGGGTATATCGAGTAGAAGTATACTTCTGCTGACAGCTTGTAATGTATTATATATCAACATCAACTGTCTGGCCAAATACAAACACCCCTTTAACTACGTTAAAGCAGTGGTTTCCATAATCCTCGGTAGGAGTGTCAAATAGGAAGCGATAGATCGTGAACTCACATTAATTTCAGTGTTTCTCTTTAGCCTCAGATCCTCTTGCATCGATGATGTCGCCTTCTTATCGATGGCCACAAAGGCACTCCCAGCCAGATTGAACAGAAAGTCCGGCGATTTCATCACTGCGAGTATCAGCCTAAGTGGTAGCTTGCCCATGGGGTTGATCACTGAGTGGATGCAGGTACATACTCGTGAACCTCGTGAATAGAGATACATACGCAGCGGTGATTGTTTATAAACCAATACCCCACATTCAGGTAAATAGCCGAGTATATCTTCTTCAGCCATACATGCAGCGGTGATTGTTTATGAACCAACCCGACGAATTAAGGTAAATAACCGAGTATATTCTCTCGCGCAGTCTATGCCGATAAGATCCAAACCGCTCCATCGATACGTACAATGCGAAGACATCATAAACAACGGCGAATATTGTGTTCATTGGCACATATTTAAGTTATAAGTATGTACCCAAACCGATTTTAAATACAATCAAACCAGACGCACCTCGTAAATCGGCTGCCTCGAAAACAGCCAACGCTTCACTGTAAGCATCCGCTGTAACATTCCGGCAGTACCAGTTGCCAATCTGTTATACAGCAAAATAAATAAGCACCCAATTTGGGATGTATATGCACGGGTGAGGGGATTATCTCTTGTGCCGCTCATCAGTCGATTGTGAGGCGAAAGAAATGTGATGCTACCTACTCAACATAAGCCTTCACCTTAAGCGCATTAATGCGGAAAACGTACACATAAACGTACACATAAAACATATTTTTCACGATCTGTCAACAGAATAACTATCTAAGTAACAAGATCAGTGTCATAATACAAGGATCAGACACATCGTATACATATGCATATACATATACATATACATATATATATATAAATATATATAAATATATATATATATATATATACAGGATCGGTCTATATAGATGTGGGTACCTGTTCATACAACGAAATGCCGGAGAGAGCATTCACAGCGTTGTTGAGATTCACCATTAGCTTTCCTCGTTGGTAGGCAGCCATCTCGTCATGCTTCAGCACTTTCACCTGTGCAACATCCAACAAACACAACATGTGGTTCAGTATGGGTGTTCATGTATAGTGTTTGTGCGTGCTAGATATCTGTAAGAATGTGAGTGTGATTGTGTTGAGTTGAGACCATATGACACTGCCTTATGTATGGTGTTTGTGCGTGCTAGGTATCTATGACTGCGCTGAGTTGAGTGTACTGAGTCTGTACCAGATTACACAGCGCATGGGCTGTGATAAAACCAGTTCCATACATATTAGTACGTACATCAAGCGTGTGGGTGTACACCTGAATGTTGGCAACACCAGATCTATCAAGTGTGCCGAGTTAAGCGGGCGTCGACGGTTGCGATGAAACCCCTATTAGGGGATACCTAGAGTTCGCGAATATGGAGGGTGGGTCAGTAAATCATTGAGAACAGGTTGGTTTGACACCTCATACCTTCGCACGGTGCACCCGAACCGTGGATGAGAGGTGCGATTCGGCCCCAATTATATAGTACAATGCTCTCAATACTTATACTAGTACTTTAGCCAATATCTACGAAAGAAGCATAACGAAGCAGTGGTCGAGCAGCGATTGAAATGTGTAGTAATCCACCGCACGTCTTCATGTGTTGAGAATTGCATTCGGGGACAGGAGTACTAGAAAATAGCTTTATTTATATATATATATATATATATAGCATATAGCACGATATATAAGTAGCACTCGTTCGTATTCGCGAAGCATGTATGTGTTCATACATTCAATCCTAAAGAAATGCTGCATCACAGTAGAAGATCCTGAACTGAACACTGTATACCTACCTCTAACCCCGATTTTGTCCCGCAATCCACTAGCCAGTCCGGCACTCCTTCGCCGAAGACAATCGGGCCTGATGTCCCGCGATGATATTCACCGTCTGACGGAATGCGTTGGTTAGAAGGATGAAGGACGAGTATGTACCGTATACGCAGACAGAAGCACCACATGATAGAGCACTACAATTGGAGACAAGTAAATGCTATGAGAGAGAAGAGGAAGGGAGAAAATAGAAGGGGGGGGGCGGGTGTTCGGGGAGGGCATAAAGCCTGGACAAAATGGACACAATAGACCTGAATGTCAAGGTTCCAAGTGCATATCTATAAACGACACACAGACAAGAAAAGACAACTTGGGTCCAAATATCCTTCTTGAGAGTGGTCACACCATGTTTCAAGTACAGCCATCTCGTTGATAGAGTTTGATTCAATTGCTAGATATAGAGCTGATACCCGCAATGCTTCAGGTATAGACAGCTGTCTAGTTCAGCCACACAGCTTCCCTAACACAAGAATCGATCGACAGTCACTCAACAATGAGGCCTAGTATCAATTTGATAATTGAACGACCACAATTCTCGGGATATCTGAATGGACAATGCGTGTCTAATAGTTGTAATCATAGAACACTTGTCAATGAAAACAAGAGAAGTATTCACAATTATCGGTAAACCAAGTTACGATTCAGAAACTGTTCAGCCGATAGATCTCGATTCAAAGCATGATATATACACGTACACGCACACACGCACATATATATATATATATATATACACATATACATATATATATATATATATGCATATATATATATATATGTATATATATATATATGTATATATATATATATATATTTAGATCTATTATTATTATATATATATGCGGATGGAACGATAGATATACAGATAAAGATGAGGGATGAATATAGAAAATCGATATATATATATATATATGTATGTATGTATGTATGTATATAGAAAGACACATATAGAAAGACATAAATATATATATATATATATATATCTATTTATACATACATACATATATACATACATACATAC